CCGTAGGGTGACGGTAGCCATAGTTGAGGCCACCACAGGTGGTCACTGGGGGCCAGTGCCACCCTGTGGCCGCGTCCCGGGGGCGGGGGCGCCCCCCCCCGCCACTGAGCAGGCGCGGAAGCGGCGGGAGGGCGGGCAGCCCCCGCGATGATGTGGCCCGTGATGCGCAGCAGCCGCCGCCGCCGCCGCCGGCCGCTCCGGCCCGGTGCCTTCCCCACCGCTGGCAGCAGCTCTCTTGGCGACGGAGCGCGGGAGTCAGCGTTTTGTGCGGGCTCCAGAATGTCAGCTACTAGGACGTTTTTGTTCTTTCCTGCGGCTTGGCTAAAAACAGCTCCCTCAGAAAGCCTTTTTTTTTTTTTTTTTTTCAAGTATTTGGGTCAGTTGGGATATTCTTGTGCTTGCCCAGCTGGTCTGTAGGCCCTGAGTGCAACACCGAGTGCTTACATGTCAGTCTGCGAGTTAGCTCCCTTGAAATCAGCTGCCTGTGTCAAACTAAATACAGCGTCAAGGCCTTGCTGGGCCCCGTTAATCGATCCTCAGAACTCTTGTTCTGAGACACGCTTGATATTAATACACTAAAATAGTCAAGCCAGCTAAATTTGTGCAGTTATTGTCATTACTAGTATTATTCCTTGATTGTCACTCGACACTTCGAAGTGGTGAGGATGCCGTAAGTGGAAGGCGAAAGGGAAGAAAGAGGAAGAAAAGAAAACCAGGATTTAATGATGGGGACGGCAGCCAAGCCTACAGCATCTCTTTTCCTTTCTCCAGACAGAACAAAAGACAGCACGGAGAAGTCACCAAGTGTCTACCGTAAACTGGAGCTGGCTGCTGTGGGTATGTGTGGAAAAGCAGAAACAGAAGAACGTATTTGCAGGACTGGAGCCAAAACAATCTGTGCTACAATAGTGAAATATACAGCACCATCTTGAACTCTGAGTCGATACCGTATGAAATGAATGAACCAGCCCAAGCCTCAGAGCTATTAATTCGGTGGTGAATGCTGTCTCAAGCCTGAATTTATTGGGAATTTGGGCTATGGATGCTGTTGTCCCCCTACCCTGGTAGCAACCGCATATATCCATGCCTCCTGTGTGCTCACATGTCATGCAGTGTGGATACATAGTTGGACCGCCTTGCAAATCAGATAAAGATCACATCTGCCTCTGTTGCCAGCAGGTTAGACTATAAACCTGAGGTTTGGGAATAGCACCTCAGGGTGCTATTTCTGGCTTTTCTAATTGCTTGTCTGGTGATCTTGGGCAATCATTTCATCGCTCCCCATTACAGGTTCCTTGACAGTATTACGCCCCTCCCTCCACTGAAATCACATAATACCCATGGATGAAATACGTTATTTGAGGTTCACGCACTGTTACTTTGGACTATGTGCAATTGCAGAAAGACACATTTTTTGTGGCCCAAGGCAAAAAACCTCAGTCCTTGAGATTTTTCAGCCATCAAAGCTATCAATGGGGTTTTTCTGGGAAACCGAAATTCTGGAGGACAGTCGAGTAGGAAGGTGCAAACCAGGCAGCGGATTCAGTGGAATGCAGCCGGCGCTGCAGGTTGGCCGGGAAGGTGGCACAGGACGCTTGCTTGGGCCGGTCTGTCAGGAAAGCCACACTGCAGCCTCTTGCATGAGGCCTTGCAGAAGGTTTGCTTCTTACGCCTTTGTATTTGTTAATTCTAAGATGCTGGGATATGGGTGGTTTTTTTTCCTTGTGTTCTTTGCAATGAGGGCATATAAGCACCACTTACCTGATTACTACTTTTTTCTCATTTTTGGCTTGGACTTCCCGTCTCGTCTCTCATGAACCATGCAGTTCTCTTTTTACAGTTTTCACATTGTCTAGATTATAAACAGATAGGGGCGGAGGCTGTAGAGCAAATCTTGAATAACAGGTTGACCAACGTCGACCGAACTTGACAGTTGTACAAGTTTCTTTTCCAAAAGATAATTAAAATTCCCCTCCGGGTCTGAAATATAATTTTAGGTGCATTTGTCAAATTCTGACAACGAAAATGGAAAAGTTTGCAAAGCAGCGCGGCTGCTGGCAGGCGTTGGAGGGATGTTCCCTGCTCGCAGCTTGGTTTCATACCCTCGTTTCTCCTCCAAGTGGTGGGTTGGACGTTTCGTGCCCAATCATAAGGATTTTAAAATACAACGTAACGTGCATGGTTTTCCTCTCCTGCACTGTCGACCCCAGCCGTACGGGAGCGCGGGTGTTCGTGCCGGTTGCCTGAGGAGCGGCGGCTGCGCCGCGGAGCCCCTCGCCCCCGCCGCCGCCTCGGGGCGGCTCCGCCCCTCCCGCCCTCCAGGGGGCGCTGCGCTGTGTCGGGCGCGGCCGGGGGGGGGCCCCGGCCCCCCCCCCCTCCCGGTTGGGCG